GGCGGAGGGGCGCAGTCCCTCCCCGCCCCGACGCCACCTCCATCTTTGCATGCGCCGCGCGCGGGGCGGGCGGACGCCTCTCCAGGGCGATGGAGGCTGCGGGGCGAAGCTGGCCGCTCGCGACGGACAGCTGAGGCGGCAGCGTCACGTCCTCCGCCTCCCGGACCCTTCTGCTCCCTCCCTTTATTTTTTTATTTTTTGTTTTTTGTTTTTCTGGCCGCGTTCAGTTTTAGCGCCGTCGCCTTCCATGCGTCTCTGAGCAGCCTGCGGGAAGAGTGTGCGCGAAGGAGGGACAGCGCGCTCCGGGGAGAGGAGGCAGGAAGATGAGGATTATCTGCAGACAGCTTGTCTTGTTGTTCTCCGGATTCTGCGGACTCGCCATGGGAGCCTTTCCCAGCAGCGTGCAGATAGGTGAGCGTGCTCCGGGGCGGCGGGCATCCGAAAGTGAGTTACGGGAGTTGCTGATGGGCAAGCCGGGGAAGCCTTGGCGGCGGCTCGCCTCGCCTCCGCGTCCCCTTCTCCCTGTCTGAGAAGACGGTCCCTTCGTGTGCAGGTTGTGTTACACACGCAGGACAGCGCGCCCACCCTCCCTGCCTCAGCCTCCTGCTGCCTTCAGCTCAAGTCTTTCGAGTCGCGTTGTAATAAGTTGGGGGGGGGTACGTCTGCGAGGTTTGATTGTCTTTTAAATATTTTCATCCCTGGAAGGGGTGAAAACATGAAAGGGGGAGTTTGTTTTATTTATTTGTTTTTTAAACAAAGTCCTCTTCTTCCCGTGCTGGGTGCTGCGGCTTTTATTCTGTTGCAGAAAGACCGGTGGGGGGGGGGGGGGCTACATTTTCATCCGCACCGCCTGCGTTGTTTGGCTGCCGGTTAGGGTAGGAGATACCAAACTTAGATCCCCTCCCAGGAAGCTCCTCTGGTTTTATTTTCCTCGGGGAGCTTCTCCCCCATGTCCCTCCACCTCTGCTCTGTGTCCAGGAACCCCCCCTCCCCGCCATCCATCCGTAGCTTTTCTCGCTGTTCACTCCTGTCTTTCAATGGGACGCAGCTATTGAATTTCTTCCAGCTAAACCCAGCCTCAAACGCTGCATCATTTCTCGTGGACTGTGCACACCACCAAGCTAGCCAGGCTGATCCTCGAGCTGCGGAAAAATAAAGTTCATTCCTCCTTTCCGATTGCCCTCTTTCCTGCCTGTCTCAACATCGCTTAGTTGTCTCCCTATGTTCATGTCAATTTCTCTACCGGTCCGCTGAGTCTGTTCTCTCTCTGCCTGGCAGAGAGAGATGCGCTGAGCAGGCTGGTGTAGCAGTGTGCTGGGAATAGGAAGTGGGGGGAGCGGAACATACTAAATGGTCTCAGAGGTCATCGTGTACCTGACAGATTGGATCAAGAGAAAGCTGAGCTGTCCTAAAGAGTAAAATACTAAACTTGCCCTTAGGGACAAAGGGCCGTCTCCCCAGATGTGGCAAAGATAGCTCCTGAATTGTGTGTGCTTGTGAGCGGCAGTGAATTTGACAGTACTTGTGCTGGATGTGGTATTTACAAGAGGCGGCACTGAATGTGCTTTTCCTGCTGTTTTTGATAGGTGGTCTCTTCATCCGAAACACAGACCAGGAATACACTGCTTTTCGATTGGCAATTTTTCTTCATAACACCAGCCCCAATGCGTCGGAAGCTCCTTTTAATTTGGTACCTCACGTGGACAACATCGAGACGGCCAACAGTTTTGCTGTAACAAATGCCTGTAAGTAAAAGCAAGTTACTGGTCAATTTAAAGAGAATTAAAACTACGCAGTAGAGGTCCCTTTCTCTTTTGTATTATTGATGTTCTTAATATTTTTAAAAAGAAATTCAACACCTGTAATTTCTTGGTTTCAAAAAAATGAGAGTTAAAAAACAAGATCAAGTCTCAGGAATATTCAGCTGGTCTCTTTCTCCCTCCTATTCTTTCTTCCCTTTTTTTTCTCTCTTCCTTTCTTCTTTTGTCCATTCGTTGTCTGGATACTTCAAGTTAAATTCTGCTTTGATATTTCATTGTTATTCCTCTCGTCTGAATGCCAAATTAGTGAGAACTGTACTCAACCTGGCTTTTGATTCGGGGCCTTTGTTTTTCCTTATTTGCTTTGCACTTGAGTAAGCTTATGTCTTTTAAAGAAGGTACATCCTCAGTGACACAGATGAAGGCAATGGAAGGCTAGCTTGTAATGAGAAAAAGCGGGGAGTGGTGGCGTGGAGAGAATATATATTTGAGTCGGTTGGTTGACGCTGCAGATGATCTGGTGATGTCACTTGAGGCTGCCCTGCTCTTATATTCTGGTTGTAAATGCCTCCTACTATCACATAATGCATACATCCTGTGGATGGAGCTCCATGAATCCTTCCCTGGGTGCGAAATCATGTTGGTCTCTGAGGCACCTGGATTCACAAACCAGCCCGGCTAGATCTGTTATCCCACACAATGAAACAGAGCAAGTGGCCTCACATAATGCCACAAGGAGACAGTTGTACGGTGATCCTGCGCCAGGATTCTAGATAACTATGTTAAAAAAAACACAGTCAACTATACCTTAATTTGAAAAGCTCTAAAACATGATCAGTTAAGAAGATGATGTTGCCTTTTCTTTTATTCTTGAAGGAAGTGTATGTTTCCTCTTGCTTCCCTGGTTTCATATGGTAATTTCCTACTGTTAGAAATTTATATGTGAAGATAATGATTGTAGATTATTGAAAACATATAGGAATGGCTTTCAAATTAAATTTTGGCAAACTTTCACAGCAGCAGCAAAATGTTTAATGTGAATTTTAGAACGCTTTTCTAATATCAAGTTGGGACACTGTTTAATTTTAAAAATTCCCTTATTACAAGAAAGTGCACTTAATGAAGAAGCAAGAGAAATTGAAAACAGCAAGTATTTAAACATTTAGAGGATGCCTATTTCATTAATTTAAGCATATTCATTCTTTTTTTAATCTTCAACTCATTTGATAGGTAGTATGATCACTTTTCTTTGATTTTTAGGGTCTTTTCATTACTTCTTTTTAGAACTTTCAAAAAGCATTTGAAGCATGACAGTTTGATAAAATATCCCAACTGTATTATTTTTCAGGAATGTTATAGTTCCTATGAGTATTACTTAATTTAAAAATTATTTTAATTTATAGATTATAATTAATATTACATTAAAACAGAAGGAAGATATTTTAAAAGCAGAATGCATATGGAACATAGGTTTGTGGATAGCCATTTTTATGAATTTTATATTATTAGTTCTATATCTCAAGTGCTAAAAGGGATGTCAAAATTTCAAATAGTTCTATGGAAAACGTTCTTCTCAACACATGAATGTTCTTTATTTAAATACTTGTCTCACATGAATGCAAATGTAACTAGCTTTCAAATTAACTTATGATCCAAATATATATAAACATACTTTGTCAACAGTAAATTATATCTAGTGTTACTGAATTTTGAAGGATTTTCTTAAAGGTGGCAGATATTTTGTGTTTATTTTGTTTTGCTTCTACAAATTAAAATCTTAAATATACTAAAGTTTGCACAAGGACTTCAGCTATGGGAACTAGAAAATGCTAATTCTTTCTTCCTCCCTTCGTTTGTGAACTTCACTCGGCATCATTTTAACTAATGTTAGTTTATGTAATACAAATATACATGGAATAAATTGTGATTGGTAAAATACTTGTAAATATAAGAAATTGATAGGAAGTTGCACACAGAACAAGAAATAGAAAAAGTCTGAAGGATAGAAGATGATATTTTTAATACATTGGGGAAATTGAAACAAGTAAAGCTGAAATCAGCTTTGTGTTCATATTTAATACAGTATCAGTCATCTAATATTTTTCACAATCACATATAATGGATTTGTGCAAGTGTTTCCAAATATTTTTAAGGACCAAATGGTAATAAGGAAAAAATGTTCTAGCAAAGTAAAGGAAAATTCATATGAAAAATGAGTATGCCAAATTTCCCCAAGGCAAATGGAAGCAGAATTTGGGAGAAATCAATAGTAGAGAGTGTGGCCCGGGTGACTGGTGTTTGTGGAAGAGACTGACCAAAAGCACACACACATGATTTTCCACTCTAAGTAGAGGTGAGATGCAAGCGGCGAGTACAAAACAACCTCGTGTGTCAAGCTCATTGTCTTTGGGTCCAAAAGGATGAAAATAGGTCTTGAAATTTAGCATTCTGGAGAATTAACATGGGGTTTTTTCTCTACTCTGATACAGACTGGATTTTCACATTTGTCATGTTGGATTAAAGAAATTATACAGGGTGCATTAGGTTCACGTTAATTTGGATTTTCCCGTGTTGGCCCCTTGTAAAACTTCAGTGTAGCCTCTCTGTGAATAAGGGCCATTAAACAGAGCATGCTTCATTATTTTATGAAATGTACACTCACAGATTGAAGAGTAAAGTACGTTGGTCACCTAGTGGACAGATATAACTTCGCTTGGTTCTTTTGCTCAAAATTACACTAAGGCCCTAAGAAAATTTGGGAACACTAAACCAATCTATGTATAAAATTTACATACTGATAAATCTAAACCTGATGAATGCTCAATTAGCAGTTTTAGTGTAAATCCCAAGTTCCTGGAAGTAGAAATAATTGGGCATATATTTCTACTTTATTTTCAATAATATTTTTGTAATATTAAATTAAAATATTGTTTTCTATTTTCAGATAGTCATGTTTTTGGAAAGTCACTCTTTGTTGAATGTTAAACTAAACTTATGAGAAAGACAGATATTAAATACTTCCTGTTTCAATAATAAAAAATAAGTTTGATAAGTAGCTCTTATAATATTTTGAAATGTGATTAAATGTATATATTTCTTTATTATGATCAATACAGGGACAGAGAATGATAAAAATTAATAGTTTAAAACTAAATTCAATATGAGCAATGTACTTAAAATATCATACAATTATATTGTGAACAGATATCAAAATATTTTCTTTGCAGACAGACATATCAATTAAGTTGCATAATATCCTTTGCACAATAATTGAGATGATCTGAAATAGGTGGAATGTAAAAATATTTTTTCCATAGGTAATTGATTGAGATATTTTGCCTTGGAGGATGATGTGTGCTAAACCTTGACCTCAAGTCGGAAACAAAATACCGAATTAACCTATCAACAAATTTTCTAGAAGATAAAAATACTTAAGATATTACTATTAGTTTCATCCAGCTATATAGAAATCTTATGAATATATTAGTGCCAAGGTAAGGCGGTCTGTATACAATATATTCCATAAATAATCAGTTTCTAAGGGCAATTGAAATTATGTAATAAAATATATAAAGTATTTACATCTCGTCACCTTGGTGAAATATAAATGAATTTTACAAAATATTTTAACTTTTAGAAGTTTGATAGAAAGGACCAATTGGTTAATATTTTTCTTTTAAATATTATTTTGCTTATTTTTCATAAATGAGTACTGTCACTCTACCACAGTTCTCAGATTTTTAAAATTTTGACTTGATAGCAAGATTTTATGTTGATTTAAAACAGTTCTTTAGTTTCATAATTTTTTGTATCTTCCCCATAATTTTCCATCTTGAGATTAATGACCAAAATATGAGTCATATTCTTATGGTTTGTCTCTTTCATAAATGATAAGATGATACATAGTTTGCATTGCATTTCAAAGTTACCTCAGGATCACACTTTCATAAAACGATCAGAAATACTCTAGTCTTATTCAGCCTGCATTCTTCCAAGTGGTATTTTCCAAAGGGGAAACATTTCATTTTTGGGCATTGGGGAACGCATAAAATACATATAAAATTTTGTTTATGAGTAATGCTGTCTTCTGGATTTTAATATGAATAATAAATACAATATATCTTATATTTTATGACAACATTTTTTTAGACTGATTCATACAAACCATGTGATCTGAAGCTAATCTTACAGTGAGATAGTCTGAGAAGCCAGGCATTATTTTACATTTTCCTGTCTTTGGGCTGAAAGAAATTACTGGAATTGCCAAATACTATGTAGTAATGGTTTGCAAAGCCAGAGTTTGAACCAGGTCTTCTAACTTTAGAAAGACATAAGGGTGTAAAAAGTACATCTCTGTTGAAATTACTTCAACTAAGAAAGAAAAAAGAATTACCATTTATCTTTCCTCTCATTTAATTGCAACATTTTGAAGAAAATAGGGCAAGACAGCTCTGGCCAATTTATCCATTAATCACACAGTAGTGAGTGATATCGCAAAGGCTGAAATCATATTATATAATGAAGCCATCCATCCGTTCATTAGACTGGATAAGGACTCAAACCATTTGTTCGGTGAGCATACCTACAAGCGCAATACTATTCAAGACACTATACTACAAACCGAGAATACAAAGCTTGAAGGGTAATTGCTGCCTTCAGTGAGCTCGTAGTTAAGCGGGAAAAATAGATAAATCATTTATTATGCTACAGATTACAGTAAGATAAAGTGCTGGGAATGGCAAGCAGAATGCTGTGATGGGGGTGAATACAGAAAGGACAGTTGCACTACACATGACATGGCATCTGAGGGACAACATTGCCTGATCGGGGGTTAATTGTAGACGTACCTGGTCAGTGGAGTGTTCCACGAGATGGCACCACGGTGCGGGGAGACCGCTGTATTTGAGCAGCAAAGGGATTAGCCTGTCTGTAATGTTGAGAGTGAGGAGGAAAGGTGTGCTAGGAGATGAGGCTTTGTGGATTCA